GCTGGTTTAACCAAAAGCTAGTGTTGGTGTGAGAACATTGAGAATCATATTTGATGCTACTTATAATTGTGTATGATGCTATTTTTAACACACATGGTGCTATCATTTTCACAAATGCTAATAAAAATTGTGTTGCTATTTTTAATAAAATAAATTTATGTTAAAAATAGCACTAAACACAATTAATCATAGCACCACCTACAACTAAAAATAAAGGTTCTCATTTGAACATCATTATATATATAATATTAATCGTGTCGATCTATGAATTTTGTGCTTAGTTCTAGATGATTTTATTTCAAAAACAAGAAGAGATGTGGAAAAAATTCTCAGTCCTAAAACATGCATGTTCTGTTAATTCATTGTTCAGATATTTTTTATCTCATTTTCTTTTCTTTTTTCCCATCATTCTTTAGTTTAATATCATGTCAAGCTTGTGACATATATTATTTTCAGGATCGTAATGAATTGTTTCTTTACTTTGGCTTTTGCCCTAGTTGATAAATACTTCTGGATCCACCGCTGGAAACGCCAACGACTACCAAACATAGTCGTACATCTATATTAACCACTAAATTTCATTTGATCTTTTAATAATCAAAGAAACAATCTTTATAAAGAATTATGATTTACACTAAAACTTACATTAAAAAAAATGTACTTGTTTTATTTAATTTCTTCATGGCATTCTCTTTTTTTTTTTTTTTCCACTTGTATAGTAAGTAGTTAAGAGTTAAATATACTAATAACTTGCATTTCTTTGTGTCTGTCCCTTTTTCCATCTTTCTGTTATTTCCCCTCGTGTATTTTTAATAATCATGACATTTTAGGTTGAGGAAAATTTTAAATATTTTATGTGACAGAGCAACAATGTGAATAATAAAAAAAAAAATGGCAAGTTGTTTGATGCTATGTATAGAGTCGGAATAATGACTAGTTTCCACAAAATGAACATTGAGGATTACAAATGTACTGATATTGGCAATCCCAAATTTAACTAATCCAATTGAAGGGAGATGGGGTTGGACCAGTTTCTAACTATTGGGAGATTCTACGGTACCGTAACGGAACTATTCCGTCGAAATTTGTAACCGTCAGATCAATTATCCACGACGGTTATATGATGATCTAACGGTTACAAATCCTGACGGAATAGTTCCGTAAGGCAACGGTAGCATTTCTCATAACTATTACTATACATTTATAGAAAAAATAAAAAATAAAAAATTCTCCCTTCATAACCAACTAATAAATACAAATAAATAGCTGACAGTTAATGCTTCCATTAAATATTCAAAACTTTCATGTCTTTATGGGGGGAATAATTGTCTCTTATTACATTTCACAAAATATAGGTTCAATGCTTTCAAGTCCCCTTTATAACCAAATGGCCAACGCGCTTTGCTGCACAATTGTTATCACAATTCTCTTCATATGTTTGGCCATTGATTCAAAGCTTCTTTCACAAAACACATTCACGAACCAAACGCGCGTAGAACCGAATGGGGGACGACGTACGGAATGGAAAACATTGTGCCCGCACGTACGCATACAAGTGAGTCAAGGCGTGGTCTCATTGCACGGGATACCAAGGTATAGCGTGATAATCACGAATTTGTGCACCGACTGCTGGGTCGCAAAAGTCCATTTTCACTGTCAATGGTTTGCGTCCGCCACACTCGTTCCGCCGAACTTTTTTGAACGTGTGGCGTATGACGATTGCGTCGTCTATGGAGGGAGGCCGATGCCGAGCGGGAAAACGATTCAATTTGTGTACTCCAACACCTACTCGTACCCTTTATCGGTTGCCTCTTTCGTGTGTTGGCCTTGATTAGTAAAATGGGCTTTAATTGCTTGGCAATTAGAAGTTGTTGAATTAGTGTTACGGTTTTTAATCTTGATTTTCATGTAGATGTCATGTTTGAGGTTTNNNTTTTTTTTTTTTTTTTTTTTGTTTTATATTATTATTAGAGACGGCAAAATTTGTCTTAAGTTTGTTAGCATTACAATAAACCGATTAACATGTTTAATGTTGTATATATTTTAATCATAATACGAGTTATCGATCCGTGCATTTACACGAAAAACGATTAGTTAAGAAAGTTAGTGAAAAAAAAAAACAAATAAAAAAAAGTAAAAATCATAACATATTCATCAATGAAAAAAATATGATTTAAGAAAGTAATCTAAATATTATAAAATATTTTTTTATATACGACATTCGTAGTTTTCCTATCGTTAGAATCACCATCACTAAATAATTTTAAAGCACGATATGAGTGGAAAAATATAACACTCCTGAAACAAATCGATATTAGAAGTAGGACACAAATTCATTGTGAACAATTTGGTGTTGAAAAGTAAAACACCAAGTGCGTGGCTTAACAATCGAAACAGAATAAACAAACAAATATTTGGTATATGGTCCATATCCAAAATTACAAATACGATAGTCGATTTGACATCCATTACTTAATTAACGTGATATATATGTATACATATTAAATACTGATGATACTTGATCCTGCACGAAGAAGAAGAGGCGCTTCCAAATCAATCGTGCCCTCTGACGTTTGAGTGGACGGTGTCGTTTCATCGTTCTCCTTGTCTATTTGGCCTATTGTTTTCTCGTTCCGTGCATCTTCATAGTCCTTCGCCTTACCCCACAGCACAATGTACAGTCCAGTTATCACAGCAACTCCCCCCAACAAGCTGCAATGTTTAAAGCGAAAATAATGCAACATTTTGAAAAAAATGAATTAATGATCCAATTAGCTGTTATTTTCAAAATTAATCTGAATAACAGTCGAACTGAATAAGTTGTTATACCTTCCAACGTACAACATCTCATGCAGAAAAGTACAAGCAACAATAGCGACGATTACGGTGGTTAGAGGATGGAACATGGCTGAAAAGAGGGGACCTCTCCTTGGGAGGCACCATGCTTGAGCAAAGAAAGTAACTGCTGATGCCCCACCCTGCATTCATTCCAGATTATATGTATGTGTGTGTGTGTTTGTTTGTTTAATATATATTGAAAGGAAAAAATATATTACCATTCTTTTCTTAGTAATATGTCAGTTTGTTTTTTAAATTAATTATAAAAAGATATGTATTACTAATATATAATTCTACAACAAGTAGTAGTTTTTTTTTTTTTTTTTTTTTTTTTTTTTTTTNNNTTTTTTTTTTGTTCGTATAATTATCATTGTGCTAATTTTTATTAAAAAATTATCATTATGCTAATTTTCAAGAGTTATAAACGAATTAGTACTATTGTAAACATACACAGTTTTTCTTTCTTTTTTTCCTTATAAATTGAATCATCATGTCTTTTGATTTGTTTTATTTAACTACAATAATATAAATTTCAATTATCTTTTAATTTAGATAATATCTATAATTAATTTATTTAACTTAAATATATAAATTTTAATTATCATTTAATATAAGTAACATTTAAAACCACTGTCAATATTTATGATGTAATGAACAGTAAAAATTTTAGAAGAAAAAGTAAATGTCATTCATTTGGCAATTTTATCACTTGACTTTTCAACCCCAATTTGAAAATACCAACTAGTTTTTGATCATGTGCATTTGCACAGATATAAAATACATTTTTGTTTGTATTTATTAATTAGACATGTACTTCTATCATATAAAAATTATTACTTTTTCTCATTCAAAATTAATTGAGATTTAAATTTTATTTTAACCATGCAACATTTACATTAGTAAAATTATATATTTGTGGCATATATTAAAAAAATTAACATAAATAAAAAAATTACTGGTGTTTCTAATTTTTAGAAAAAAATATGTGTCAATCATATTTTCTTCCAACAATGCAACCAAATATAGCGGTTACAGCTCTCAATGTGCCAATCAACTATAAGTTCCAATATTAGGCGTTACACATTTGAATATTTTGCTACCAAAATTAGAATTAATATAGTAACTGATCCAAAAAATAAAATAATAAAAATATATATATTAAGGTGTAACGGTTTTAGTAGATAATGAGTAATTAATTAAAAAAATATAACTCCTTTTAAAGGGAAATAAAAATAGGTTTTATTAAATTTTTTATTAAATGCATCAGTTAATAATTATATATATATGGATGCCCCCAAATAAAATTTTCTCAGCATAATTTTTTTTCTTATAAAATTTTTTCATTTGTGTGACTTACCACAAAAAAGAATAAAAATAAAAACATTAAAGTAACCCATGTCCATGTTACCCAATATTTAACTTATAAATTAATTTTAGTATTAACAAGATATTTAGTTTGATTAAATTATTTTTTATTTTTTTTGATTTCATTGTAACTGTAGGAAAGTTAATATTTGTTTATCTCGTGCATCGCATATATGCGCAGTTGTTTTTTTAGACCAAAAGAAAAAAAATTAAGATATGGTAACCTTAACAATGAGAGATTCTAGGGTTTCGTTACGGAATCATTCCGTCAAGGTTTGTGACCGTTAGATCAACTATCTACCATGGTTACATGATAATCTAACGATTACAAATTTCGACGGAATGATTCCGTAACGACACTGTAGCATTTTCCTACTTTAACAACAACAAATAGTTAATTGCTCACGGCATAAAAGACGGAGATCCATGGCATGGGTGAATTGAAAATCCAGGCACTCATGTCTGGTTCGAGTATCAATGCTACAACTGCCGATTGTAAAGCGGCCATTAAGAACATTAGTGTTGTTACCAAAAGATGATCCGGGTATCGAGCACTTACATGGGCCTGCCAAATAACACATGTATATAAAATTTTATTAAGAAAAATTTATTTTTATTTTTCCTTGGGACACAATGTTATAATATATTTTAAGTAATTGGGACACATGCCAAATTCATCGAGTAACTTTTGCAGTTGAAAATTTCAATTAACACTACAAAATAAATGTTACTCCCTTCTATTTTTAATATATGTCGTTTTGATAAGTTGCACAGTAATTAAGAATATTTTTTTTTGTCAATAATAACCTTATTTAATGAAGATAGAGATGAATGTTTTGAGAAAAAGTGAAGAGTGAATATGAAAAGACATAATGTATTTATTGGTTAAATGAGAGTAATAATGGAAAAATATGTACAAAATATCCAAAACGACATTTATTTGGCAAATGATTAAAAAAGATATAATGACATTTAAAAAAATAGGAGGGAGTATATTCCAACGGAAAATCCTATGGTAATATATTCCAATAGAAATTCCAACGGATATTCTAATGGAATAGCTTCCGTTGGAATAGTTCCAACAGAAATTCCAACGGAACTATTCTGTTGGAATGTGTTTTTCATTAGAATTTTAGATGGAATTTGATGATTTCAACGGCTATATTTCCAACGGCTTTTTACCGTAGGAATTTCCATTGGAATATGCAAATTCCGTTGAAATTCTTTTTTCCACCTCCGTTGAAAAATTCACCGTTGGAATCGTCAAAATCCAACGAAAATAATAGTATTGAAATATCCGTTGGAATTGCCGTTGGAATAATTCATTTGAAATATATTTCCGTTGAAATTTCATCATTTTCTTGTAGTGTAACTAGTAAACATCAAACACAATATGCCAAATCAATTTTGTAAAATAAATAAATTAACTATTATGCCTTTTAACTCGGAGCTTATAGAGTTCATCTGTCGTTTCGAAAAAAAAAAAAGCTCGAGTTTGTATTCACTAAGGGTCAATTTGGTTGGAATAATGGATTGAGCATGGTAATAGTCTTTTGGATTGTTTCATAGGCTATCAATTTATTTAATTAGCCTATTTAATTGTTTGGTTTAGAGTTGGAAATTATATCCTTTAATTTGAAATTACTTTTCTACACTTAATTTAAAATTTAATTTTCATTTCATCCCTTTCATCCCTCTCTTGATTGGAAGGCAAAAACGAGTATTTTCGAGCTCAATTCCTACAACCAAGTCCCCCAAATTAGTCCAACCGATTGAGAAAATTGGAGCTCGGGAAAACGAAAATGGCGGATCCTAGCACATACGATTTCTTCAAGCTAAACGTCAAATGTTTGAAACACGACCCGTCGAGCAACTCATCGGCCTCCGGTGACCCTCGGCGCCACCAGAACACGCACGAACGGGAGAGAGCCGCTACCATGAGATCACTCACGGCCGCCAACGATTCCCCCGCCATCCGTCTGCCACAGTGATGAGGATAGTTTAATAGTTTGATTATTATTATTATTATTATTATTATTATTATTATTATTATTATTATTATTATTATTATTATTATTATTATTTCTTATTTATCTTAATAAGGTGGTTAGAAGATATTTATCTACTTGTTTGATAAGTTAGGGATTGTGGAGATCTTGAACTCTATTTATTAGCAGTCTGACAGAATGTACGATCAGTTTATCGATTGAAATAAAAAATCTGTTATTGTGTGGTTTATATCGAGAGTATCTCTTTTATCCTTCCCATTCGCACGCTTTCCCTACATCAGTTGGTATCAGAGCACAAAACACACTTCGGGCCACTGGAATCATGTGATGAAGTTTAATCCTGCGTGCTTCCCTTCTCAAAGAAGCCATTTACATATGCCCGTTCTTGGTGAAAATAGCCGATGGGAATCGGCTTTTTGTTTTGACACTCGGGAATTTACTAGTGACCCCGGGCAAATTTTTTAGCCTTATAAAGAGCCGGAATTTGAGCCATTGTATGATGGTCCGCCCGTTTTTTATGAAGAGCCTCCGGTGCTGGAGACACATAGGGGCGGCACTTTGCGCTCCACGTGGGACATTGCCACAGTTGACCATTCTCTCGAAAAATCGTCGTTGGGACCCAATTTTCGGGACATCTCAGCCAAAGATAGTTTTTCGGAGCCGAAACCGATGTTCAATAGCTGGTGGACCATTTTCCGTATGCCTATCCCAAAGTCTCCCAACAAGGGGATGCTTAGTCGTTGTTATGGATTTGAGCGCGGCAAACGGTGTGGCATATTTTGTGTTACTTCAGTTGTTTCGCCTTTGCGTATGGTGACGTGTCAATGTGCCTTCGCAGCAGTTCACTCCTTGGCCGAGGTTATGCTTATGTTCGCAGTTGTTGGAAGACGTTCAACGTTCGTGTTCGATCGAGGGAAATATCGGGGGTATTCTTGTCATGGGGACGACTCCAACAGGAACGAGTCGGATTCGAGGCCGAATCCTGCTCAACCGGGGGAGAATGATGAGGATAGTTTAATAGTTTGATTATTATTATTATTATTATTATTATTATTATTATTATTATTATTATTATTATTATTATTATTATTATTATTATTATTATTATTATTATTATTATTTCTTATTTATCTTATTAAGGTGGTTAGAAGATATTTATCTACTTGTTTGATAAGTTAGGGATTGTGGAGATCTTGAACTCTATTTATTAGCAGTCTGGCAGAATGTACGATCAGTTTATCGATTGAAATAAAAAAATCTGTTATTGTGTGGTTTATTGAGAGAGAGTATCTCTTTTATCCTTCTCATTCGTACGCTTTCCCTACATCACACAGCCTTGGAGATTGATGGGCCGATAAAATTGGCCGATCTGAAATTAAGCTTTCACCAACATGTAGAAAGCTTAATTGAAACGAAAAGCTTAATTTCCAACAAATCTGAAGGTGTTGTTGCTTAACGAAGAAGATGAAGGGACTGTGCCGTTTCTTACGAAGAAGAAGATGATGAAGGAAGAGAATTATGGTTCTTGCATTTGGTGCCAAGGCAAATTCACGAATGAAAGTACGAATAAATGTGGTTATATTTGTAAATTTAAATAAAACAATATAGTGTGATAACACATCCCACCTCATAGCTAGGTGGGATACACAATGTTGAAAGTTGGTATTAATTGACCGGGCCCTTCTATTTTAACGGGTTTGGACTGTTCGGACCAAACATATTTATAAGCATGAATTGATAACAATTGGCAGGATATTAAGCCCAATTCGGCCAACCAAATGGACCCTAACATAATAATAATAATAATAATAATAATAATAATAATAATAATAATAATAATAATAATAATAATAATAATAAATTTTGGTAGTACACTAAACATGGACAATAAAATTTCCAATAGTGTTTGAATTAAATTAAAAGAAATTAGTGTGCACCTGTAGAATCAGCCAAACAGACCAGCAACAGGGGCTTGCGAGCAGAAATAGACAACCTAAAAACCACGTGTCGTGTCCATTATTAACACTTAATAATAATTTTGGACCTTTGAAAAGTGCCATTGTCGCTGCCCCACACACGCACACCACTGTCCCGATTATCTTAACCACACTTCTCAGCCTTCGAATATTCACCTTTTCCAACCTGTTTTCATTAATTTATTCATATTAGTAAATTAGTTAACATATATATATATATTAAAAAAAAAACAAATAATGTAATTAATTGCGGTGAATGAACCAAGGGCCGACCTGGCCCGTCGTCCCGGCACCGAACCGGTCCTAGACCGGCCCGTATTACGCCGGTTTTTGTGATCCGGTACTCTGGCCATGCGGTCGGTTCAAATTCATAAATTTTTTATTTTGGTCCCTACAGTCCCGGCCGAGTCGTGGCTTAGAAGACGGGCGACCTTTGTAATTTTTTCTAAGGGTTGGGCCAGTTCAGCAACCGGCCCATAGGAATGGCCAGGCCGGACCATCAAATTAAGGGCGGTCGACTCGCCTGCCGGGCCATGGCCCGTCATTTGGCCAAGTCTAGGTGAATCTAGTTAATTCAATAATATTTAAACTAATTGTTAATTTAAAGTACCCCAAAGTATAGGCCATGACAAAAGTGATGGCCGGCATCAAATTGCCCAAAGTACTTCCAACTGTTGAATTAGCCAACGCCAAGCCTTCGTAATACAAGTTCTGATTCAGTGTTATACTGCCTACAATAAAACTAATTTTAATTTTGCTAACTGATATTAAAAGAAATAAAATAATATATATATATATATATATATATATATATTGTTAAGTAGATTTATTAATTAATTAAATAGAATCTTGCCCAATAAAAGAGACGAGGAAAATCAGCCACAAGCTTTTCCACTCCAGACAATGTTCTTTATTCCTTCCTCTCCTGCTCCAAAGCACCATAATTAATTAAAAATAAATTGTTTTCAGTTAATTAATTAGATAATATATAAATTAAAAATTAAGAGTATATATATATATATATAGGAAATGCTAGGTCTCGTTACGTAATCATTCCGTCGGGATTCGTAAGCATTAAATCAACTATCCCAACGGTTACATGATCTAACGGTTACAAATCCCGACGTCCGGGACCATATATACATACCTTGAGATATATGCAATTGGAGACATAATTAAGAAGGCTAAGCACTGCCTGTAGACAACAAAAACTCGGGTGCTCATCCCTTGCAAAATCCCAGCTCTTCCAAATAGAGTGACTCCAGCGTACACAAACTGACATCCCACCATAACTATTATGGGCTTGTAGTTTTCCAATCCCATTCTCAACTTGTCTATCTATTAACGGCGGTGAGATATGTTTATTTTATAGGCCCTTGGCATCAGGGGCAGACCAATAATATGTGGGCACGTGAGCCTTATATACAAAAATGAAAATAATTAGACTAATATTATTGGTTTATATTTTTTGGGAAATGCTACGGTCCCGCTACGGTGTCATCCCGTTGGGTGTTTTAATCGTTGGATCCACATGTAGTTAGATAAGATAGATGATCCGACGGTGAAAACATCCGACGTGATAGTACCGTAACGAGACTGTAGCATTTCTCTATATTTTTATTTTTAAAATTTAATATTCGCTCACTTTTGTTCGATTTCATGACTACTAATTTTTTTTTTTTTTAAACAATAATATGTATTTTGAGACTCTGATAAATAGAGACGCTCACAATCGAGTGCTCTAAAGCCAAAAAAAACCACAATACACTCACTAGAAAAGACAAACAAAAGCTCTCAACAGAAGAATAGACAAACATATTGTGTCGACACAAAATTATTGAAGCACCTTGTCGAAGCACATTGCAAATGACACAAAAATGAATAATTGAACTACCTAATTGCACATGATATCTTTTCAAATACAAAGGTAGGTGGGTGGGGTGGGGGAGAGTTGAGTATGGTCAAGTTGGAGATACATGTTTTTCCAAACAATTTGGGGATTGACACTTTCATTTATTTTATTTTATATTTTTTATCATTTGTAGGATAGGGATTAGTTCTAATGAGTCCACATTTTTAAAAGTGAGTAACTGAGAGTCAATCCAAGTAATTAGTTATATCGATCAAGAAGTGTGATCAACATTTAACGACCTTTTATTTCTTATTTTAATTATATAAATATTAGTTGACTGTTGACTGTTGATACTGACGTTGACAGATGACTTTCAACGTTGACTTTGACATTGACCTGTTGACCGTAGTATGATGTATGAAGTAAATATGCATTCAACAGTACTATCTTTATATGAACTAAATATGCATTTTGCATAAATTGAATATACAATTCTTATAAACTAAATATTCACTAATAATATCAACCGAGTACGCACTGTTTATGAACTAAATCTGCACTACGTATGAATTAAATGAGCATCTTGCATGAACTAAATATGCAGCAAAAATATGTAATTAAATATGCACTATGTATACTTTATTTTAATATAATAATATAAATAATGTAAATATCAATAGATTAATATGAGTCATTGATCCACACAACTAATAGCCATAATTAAACCTCAAATGAACTAAATATGCACTTTGATGATCTAAATATGCACTTTATTTGGCATGAAATGACCATTGAGCGGCTTGGTTCGACCTGATCTGTCGTCCTCGTCGATAGCTGAACTTCAAGACCTGCAAAAACTCAACACCAAAGGAGTTTTTCAGTGAACAACTTCAAATGAAGATACGGTGATTATTAAAATCTTATTATATATTTATGTTGTAAATTTTATTTTCTATATTAACTATGGTTAGATAAATGCTTAAAGAAAAGTAATGTTCGTACAATTTCCCATATTAACGGCTTAAAACACGTTCACGTTTGGAATAGTATTAGATTTAAAAAAAAATTAAAGATATTGTTATGTTGAACAAAAACAAAAATAATTTGGTCATTATCCATCTTCGTAGTAAAAAAAACCTATATCTCGTGTATTCTAATCAAAGAATCCATGGGTATTTCTTCAGTTTTCTCTAAACTTAGAAGAATCTGATGATTTTCCATCTGAAAAACCAATTGGTTGAAGAAAATGAAAAGTCTGAAGGAAGGTAAAAGATGATTTATCATTGGTCAACAACACCATGAAGGAAACAAACTTCTTGACAAGTTGAAACAAACAAACAAACAAATAAAACACTAATTGAAAATGCAATACTTGATGGTGGGGAAAAAAACAAAATTTTGTTTGAATGTCAGTTCCATAGAAGATCCTCAAGTTCGTGCATGCATGTTGAAGGTGAAAAGACGCGAATCTTGGAGAAAAGACTTTAACGCGCCCAATTGGATTCATTTCCAACCAATACATTAGACTAATTTTTCAACGATCGTGAAATAATTGGTGCCAACTTGTCGGATTACCAAAATTCTCGTGCATGTAGCTTTTAGTTTGTTACCAAATTCACTATTGTGCGATGTTGCACTTCGTATTCGACACTAGTTATTTAAAAATTCGGTTTCCCTGTGGTCCGGAAACCGGAAAATCCCTGTACCAAAAAAAAAATATATTTTTTAAACATCATGGTCTATCACAAAATGATTTAATCTTACTTCAATTTGTGTCACGTCGTTATTTAATGTTATTGTTTTCTTTTCTTTTCTTTTCTTTTATAATATTCCTTTTATAGTTTTTTCCATAGTTATTTGTACTTGTAAAATAAAAATATCATAAATAATATGAAATTTTCACACTGTTATTGTAAACAATGTAAAATTAAGTGATAAATGTCACATTCATTATTTAAATATCATATTATCTAAATTTCATAAATTCAAGATTTATTTCAAGAGTTTTATAATTAATTATTTTAATAAAACAAAAATTAAGAATTTTTTATTCTCGTTTTACCAATTTATATATATATATATAAAAATGAAATAAAAATATCAAAATGAAAAGGTTGAATTGCGAAATTTGCTTCGAATCTCATTTCTGGGGGCCCTTTGCATATGATAATTGTCCTTCCTACAATAATGGAGTGAATTGACAACTTTTCATGCCTCATTTTAAATGCCACATGCTCATTGTAATCTTGTGGCATTGGTTTAAAACCGTGAAATAATGCTAAGAAAAAAAAAAAAAAAATTAGAATATGAAGTTGTGCGAATATATAAATTTAAACAGGCAAATCGAAAATAAATATTTGATTGTCCCTCCCCAAACAATATATTCTAATTATTAGAGACAAAAAAATTAATAGTAGGCATACAATACAAAAAGAATTGGTATATTTCATGGGAAACCCTACGGTAATAAGTATATTATAGTGGAAATTTCAACAGATATTACAATGTTATAATATTCGTTGGATTGATTTCAATATTCTAATGAAAATATTTTGTTGGAATGAGTTTTTCAATTGAATTTTAGAAGAAATTTGATGATTCTAACGACTAATTTTTACAATGAATTTTTACCATAAGAATTTCCGTTGGGATATGCAGTTTCCACTGGAATTTTTATTTTCAACTCTGTTGAAAAATCTACCGTTGAAATTAGAGATGGTCAGTCGACGGGCCAGGTCGGCGAGCCTCCCTTAATCGGCCCGCCAAAAACCAAGGGCCGAGCCCGTGAACCGGCCGGTCCAGGCCCTGTCCCTCTGGTCCCGGCCCGATCCCTGCCCGCCGGACCC